CCCCAAAACCCCAAAACCCCAAAACCCCAAAACCCCAAAACCCCAGGAAATCATCTCAATTATTTAATTGTAAAACTTAATGGAAGCTATTCCGGAAGGAAAGGACAAGTTTATGTGCCCATCATGCATGTGAGTAGTCAACAATCCTGTTGAATGACTCGAATGAGAGACTCCATTCTGTAAAGAATGCTTTGATTCCTGGTTCAATAACACCTCTGAATGCATGCAATGTAGGAATAAAGACGGATGCAAGAAACTTAATCGGTATTTAAGATTTTTAATAACTCTATAGACACTTGAAAGCTGAGCTTAGCAGGACTAGTTTCCAGTGCACTAGAGGGTGCGGTCAGGAAATTTTGTATGAAAAGTTTCACGCTCACGAAGATAGTTGCGATGGAGTTCTAGTAGCATCAGAGAACAGGGAGTCCATGATTATACCAGAGAACTCCAAGTTAAAATAACAAGTTATTCGTGCTAGATAGAGAAAAGCCTGAGCTTTTGAGATATGATACAGAGAAGAACTCTCGTATCAAGGTATCGTTGGAGTTTACAAAGGACAGAAAAAGCTCATTCCCCTCACAATTCCAATTTGTCTTTTTCCGACCAATAAATAGAATGTTTGTAATCGGAGGAAGCAATAATCCAACCCCAAAAGTTGAGAAATGGATTGTCATGCAGGTATTCTAGGAAATTGATCTTATAGAGAGCTGGAGCTGGAGCAGCAGTTTTCGAGGAGTTCTTGCTTAACACATCAATGACAGGATGGGAGATCCTGACAGACCATTGGAAAGTTATCAGGAAATTCGCTCTAGGATTACCAAGATATGCCCATACCTCTATTGGGATAGAAAATAATTATATCTACTCGATCGGAGGAAAGGATGAGAAAGCATCAACCATTGTGGAAAGATATGAGCTCGATGGCAACTCAGAAGTTCATTGTGAGCTTAATTTTCCTAGATACTATGCCTCAGCATGCACTTTTGATGAGAAATATATTTATGTATACGGAGGATATGACAATACTACGAAGCAAATACTGAATAAAATAGAGAGAATCGACCATCTCAACCCTGAAGTTACTCCTTCTCTTTATGAGCTAGATGTAAATGATTTGCCATGCCTCACAGGAAGTTTATTGAGCCAATATAATGAAAATTCGATCTTGATCCTTGGTGGGAGAAACAGAAAGTTCAACTCAAATGCATATTATTTCGATTGCCAAGAATTAGCAGTAAAATGTTGTAGTCTGAGAAGTAAGAATCCAAATAAGAAGAACTTGTTTGCTTACCAATCTGATTACACAATAATTGAGAATGATCATGGAAACGACAGATTCGTGTTCTATATAGACTCTTTATTGGATGAATACACCCTGAAAAGTTTAGTTCTTTAACTTTTATTCAATAAAATAACAGCTGCTTGGGGTTTTGGGGTTTTGGGGTTTTGGGGTTTTGGGGTTTTGGGGTTTTGGGG